ACTTGCAAGTATTAGTCACGTTTGTTGTTTGGTTTTGTTGTTGCTATTTGTCACGTAGATTGTTTGTTGCTTTGTTGTTTTATTGTATTTAAAAAATAACGTGATCTATTTTTGTTGTTTGGTTACCCAATCTTACGTGTTTGTTTTATTGTTATTATTTACGCATCACTAAGATCAGATTTTCAGGATCTAGCCAATTTTTCCAAAATTTCTGAAAATTTTCTAAAAATTTTCGAAGACCTTATTTTTGTTGCTAGCCTTAAAGTTTTTGTAAAAAGCTACTTTAATGAACTAAAGATTATTTATAGAGCTCTTTCTTTTTCACTAATACAAGAAACCTTGTTTCTTATACTAGTTCTTAAGAAAAATAATGATTTAGCTTATAGCTGATTAAAATCAAGTTGTAATTTGTAGATCAGCGGAAAGAGTTCGATGTAATAGTAGTGAAAAACTGTAATATAATTATTCTGCTAACTAAAATTTCTTTACCAAACTTTATAGTATGAATTTTGAACTCGATCATTTGATCCTGAATCTGATAAAGCAATGATCAATATGCTTTACCAAAATGAGTTTTTACAAACAATACTAAAGCAAATATTCAATGCCACAGAAGCATTTTGGGAAAGTTTTGAATATAGCTTGAGTTTAAATAAACGCGGTGCTAATAGATCACAAAGAATACTTTCAATTATTGCGGATAAGTTTCCTTATAAAGAGTTACAAACTAGACTTCATGTAAATATTTTATAATATTCAACCATCTTTTTTTTTAGTTAATTTATTATTTTTTTATAGATTTCTTCTCACTCAATTCACAATGCAAAAATACATAGACGTGTATTTGGTAATGGATGTCCCGCTACACCTAAACCACCAATTCGAAAAAAAATTATGCCTCAAGAACATGAAGATCAATTTGAATGATTTATGAGTAATAAAGAAAATGTGAATTTAAGCTCTTACAAAGTTGATACTAAAACAGAATTGCCACTAAAATATCTTAGTGATCAAAAAGAGGCGCTTTGGGAAAAGTTTCATAAATTGTATCCTGAAAGAATGAAACAAACAGCATTTTTAAAAAGATTACGAAATAGACCATTTGTATACCAAGAGGATTTAGAAGGACTTTGTAATACCTGTAGTACTTATAGATATAGTGTATTTGAAGATTTGGCGAATATAATTATGCAAAATAAAAAATCAGGAGCTTCGGGTAAGATCCAAAGTATATTATTTTATTTTTTATAAAAATATTTGAACTAACTATCAAAATTGTATAAATTAGACAGTTTGCTTAAAAAAGTTAAAATTTCCAAACAATTTCTTAAGCATGATTATCTAAAACATTTACATGTAACTTGTTATGAAACAGTATCACATGACTCTTGCATCAATTATTGCCTATCATTTGCATTTGGTAATTGTAATCAGAAACATATGCTTAATTGTGGTGAATGTAATGAAATATTCAATTTATTTGAAGAATTGCGATCATTGCTTGGAGATAAACAACAAGAGGTATTGAAAGAACTGAAAAAACTTCAGACAATGCTAGAATATTACCTTGCATATTTAACTAGAAAGAGATATTTGAACAGTCAATTTAATGCCAATCTTTAACAACTTAATAACGATGAAGCTCTTATAATAGTAGATTACAAAATGCGAATACTTTCAAAATGAATTCGAGAAACAAAACAAGATTTTTATGCGAAACGTGGTTGGGCATTACACACTGTTTTGGTATATTCTAATAATCAAGAGAATAACAAGTTAGAAATTCAAGTCTTTGATCACTGGTCAAATGATAATAGACAAGACACATAGTTTACAGCCTCATCTTTTGATGCAGTATTTACCTTACTTAATCCAAAGCCAAAATGGGTTATCGTAATGAGTGATAATGGTCCACATTATCATTGTTCTGAAATAATGGCGCTAGTTTCTAAATGGGCAGAATGGTATAATATTGAGTGTAAAAAGTGGTGTTTTCTGGAAGCGGAAGAAGCTAAAACATCAATTGATAGTCATCATGCATAAGTATTTATATATATTGTTTTTTTAAGGGTTGTCGCTCAATTCTCTGAAAGCCATTTATCCAACAGGACATTTACCCAACATCACATTAGGTTTAGCATTTAATTAGCTATAGGTATATATTTTTAGCAATTTGTCATCTATGTGATGTCGGGTAAGTGGCCTGTCGGGTAAATGACTTTCGGTGAATCATGTCGTAACCTTTTTAAGATATTCCATTTACTTATCGTTATGCAATTCTCAATTCGCTTAATTTAATTAATTTTAGATATCACATGCTATTAAGAGATATGTTCGCTTAGAATTTGATTTAACTACTGGCGAAGATATTGAAAAAGCATTAGGCAACTTAAGTGATACATCAACAGCTTATTTGAAACCCAATTGTAATCAAAGAAATCAAAGCGGTATCAAAACTATACCTGGAATCTCTAATTGATTTGAATGGTTTTAGCCAATAGAGGGTTCACTAGCCGGATATGTTTGTGCGTGTGATCTTCCTAGTTTTGAAGAAATAAAAAATTTTTCTATGAGTAAGTTTACTAAAAAAGAACTTGTACAACCTGAACCAACAGTAGACAAACATTCAGAAGTTTCTTCAAAATGGACAATGCCAATTTATCAAGCTTCAAACAAGCTTATTTTTTCAATAACATTTTAGTTATTAGAATTATACATGTAGTTTTATTTATTGATTCTATTTGGTAGTATCAAATACTAACTGTTAGGATCTAAGAAGATGGTCTGTCACTAAATTAAAGGATGAGTTAAACCGAAGAAATATTTATTTTAATACCGCTTTATGACGAAATGAGTTGGTAAATTTATTAAAACAAGAAATGTGAGAAGAAGCACATCTTGATGATGAATTAAATGAGGAATTTCCAATAATAGACATAGATAAGTAAATAAATTTTGGTTAATTGGTCAAAATTCTAAAAAGAAAAATTGTACAATACGAATTGCAATTTTTTTTATATAAAGTAATTGATAATTGATCAATTTCTAAAAATATAATAGAAATCAGATGTTTTATCTATCTCTTGGATGGTCACTTAAATGCAATCAAAAATATGGCAAAAAAAGTAGTGGAAAAAGACTAGCAAAAGAAGTAATAGCTGTATTGACTCATTTTTTATGATAGAGCAACATGATCCTAGTGATCGATATTCTGCAAAAGATATGCTAGATGGATTGAATGAAATGGCAGAAAACAGTGAACTTTCATATGAAGTAATCCCTTCTTTAAAAACAATTGAAAGCTGAATTATTAGATTTTTAAGTTTGTCGAAAAAGAAACATGCAGAATGCTTCCTAGAAGAATAAAAAGTTTATATTGAGAGTTTGATTTTATATATATAAAATAATAATAAATAATTTGCAATAAATACAAACTATAAAATGGTCTAAACGATTACTGATTGCTTTAGAGTTTTACATTCTAATTAGTACGGCAATAGTTTATTATTATTGCTAAACTAGATTTATTTAGAAAAAATTAAAATTGTACAAGTCAAAATTATAAAGAATCTATATTTTAAAGACAACAATCTGACATCATCTGCTACTAAAACTTTTGAAACAAAAAAATAAAGTTATCGAAAACTATTTTAATTAAGACATATAGTTATGACATTATATTTACAAAAAAAAAGTACGAGCTAAAATCGTGTATAGATTTGTGCTACCTAATGGTTAATTTTTACAATTTTCCAAAATCGATTAGTAATTCGGCAAAATTTTATCCCGTATTATATCAAGTATTTTATGCTGCTAATCAGCGAATCATGAATTAAACCATATAGAATAACTTTCTTCTGATTGGTCAATCGCTTTCAATTGTATTTATACAGTTTAAAGTACTTTTTAAGAATGTAACATTT